ATGTTTCTCTTTCACATCTATGGTTTTTTTCCCTCTCTTTCTCTCTTCCTTCCTCTCTCTCTAAAAGCAATGAAAGCCCTGGCTGGTGTAGCTCAGTGGATTGAGTGCGGGCTGGGAAACAAAGGGTCACCAGTTTGATTCCCAGTCAGGGAACGCGCCTGGGTTGCAGGCCGGGTTCCCAGTAGGGGGCGCATGAGACGTAACCACACATTGACGTTTCTCTCCCTCTCTTTCTCCTTCTCTTTCCTTCTCTCTAAAAATAAATAAATAAAATCTTCAATAAAATAAGAAAATAATAATAAAAGCAATGAAGAAATGTCCTTGGGTGAGGATAAAAAATAGTGCTGGGCATTATTTAACCCTGCCACCTGACCACCTTTTTGGTTTCTGGCCATCCCTGCCCCACTCAGATGTCCGGTGAGCTGTGTGTGCGTCACGTAGCGCATTCACCTGACCACTTTGGTGGCACTTCCATGTGTTTTTATCGTCGTTGCTACAACCATCTGTCCCGGGCCTTGTGAGCCCGCAGCCACCGTGCAGGCAGAGCGTGCCATCTGGGCTCACAAGCGAGAACGTCCCATCGGAAAAGCCACCGTGAGGGCTCACGTGTTTCAGGGAAAGTGTATTTCTCGCTATAGTAAGGAGAGCGCTGACTGGGCATGCGCACGAAGCACCTCTCACCAGAACTGAAAGTCCCGGTTTGCACACTCATGGGGGGGGCAGGTGAAGGGCAACCTTATCTGTCCGTGTTCATAAGCTACTTCTGCAAGAATCTGCTTGCAGTTGCCAATCACGTGATTTCATTCAGATGTGGGATACAAAACTGAAAGTAGCTCATGCACAAACAAGACAATCAAACAAGTAAAAACTCATAGACACAGGCAACAGTGTGGTGGTGAGCGGAGGGAAGCAGGGTGGTAAAGGGGAAAGGGGACGAGACACCTGGTGACAGAAGGAGATGAGACTTTGTGTGGTAGACACAGCGCAACATACAGATCGTGTGCCGTAGAAATGTACACCTGAAACCTATGTGATTCTATTACTCAACGTCACCCCAATACATTTCATTTAAAAATAAAAACAAAGCAAAAAAACTGTGTTTACCAAAGTCTATTTGAAGTGTAGTTGCCATGCAGTGAGGTGCTAATGCGTTTTTTCTTTTCCAATAGAGAAACCTCTAAAATATGTTCAACACAATTAAATAAATGAAATCAGATTTGAGCTTAATGAGTTGGTGGTCTTCCAATTTATCTTACAGTTATCGCCAGCTGATTGAGTCTGATAAAGTGTGGTTTTCCCAATGATGATAAATGAACTCCCATTAAAATGTGGTATTTTGTATTTTGGCATTACCTTGATTCAAAGAGTGTGTCTGTGCTGGTTTTTCTGTACCGTGTATTTCTGACTACCGGCCTCATTAAAATAATCATAATGCCTCAGTAACACCACGCGTGTCTCCAAACGTGACACCGTAGCAAGCTGCCTGTCACAGAAGGCCTCTCTGTTCAGCTACACATTTGACTCATGTTCCGTTATATAACGTCAAACTAAGAGAAGAATCATAAAAGCTATTGAACACGAGCTAGTGGTGATCAAATTTAGAAAACGTACGGGAGAAGAAGAAAGACTAGTCATGTGTTTTCAAAGCCACTGCTCATTAATCAATCTTCTATAATCACCAAATATATTCTCCTCAGCACATTTAGACATTTTCTTTTGTATCCTCACCTGAGGACATTTTTTCCATTGCTTTTAGAGAGAAAGGAAGTTGAGGGGTGGGGCAGAGAGAGAGAGAGATTGAGAGAGAGAGAGAGAAGGTGAGAGAAACATCAGTTGCCTGCCACCTGTATGCACCAGGACCCAGAATCGAACCTGCACACTTTTGCTGTACAGGATGATGCTCCAACCAACTGAGCCATCCGGCCAGGACAACAATCACACATTTTCTGATCACCAAATCCACACTCTTGTCAAGGACCCCGCATACAACATTGAACGTGCATAAAAATGGGCATGGGCCTCTTCTGGCCCTGATTGATTTCTTGTGGCCCTCCTTACCCTCCCCCCACCCGCTGTCTGGCTTGGTGACCTTCCCCAGTTGACTGTCCAGCCCTGCCACCTTTCCTGGTTGTAAGACAGGGCTAATGATGCTGAGTTCCTAAGTTTCCTCCTGGGACTTGCCTAAAACAGAAATAACAATAATGCTCCGTATTGCCACAGCTAGTATTTTGCCAAGATTTGAAGTCACATAAGAGCCCTGAAACTTTCTTTGCAGTGTGACAGAATTATTCTTGAGCACGTTTGGAGCAATAAGCAAGTGAGAGGAACCTTATATTAGACCAGAAATCAACGGGGACTCTTGTTCCTAGATGTCAAGATGTTTCTTGAAAAGCGCCCCCTGCTGGTTACGGTGTGAAGCCCGGCTTCCTGCTTTGCAAGACACCCCTCTTCATGGAAAACTGTAGGTACACACAGGGGCAAGAGTTAAAAACACTCAGGGCCCTGGCGGGGTAGCTCAGTTGGTTAGAGCATCATCCAGATTCGCCAAGGTTGCAGGTTCGATCGCCAGTCAGGGCACATACAATGAATGCATAAGTAAGTGGAACAGCGAATCGATGTTTCTCTTTCTCCCTCTTCCTTTTCTCTTTCTCTTAAATCAATTTTTTAAAAAAGGAACCACTCAGTAAGTGATGTAAAATTCCACTTAAACGAATATCTCCTAACAGAAATTATCTCAAATACTGAAAATGGTCAGAAGCCAAAAATGCTCACTGTAAGAAAATTTATAACAGCCCCGTGGGAAACAATGCGAGTGCCCTAAATTACGAGAGTAGCTGATGAGTAGGCATTCGCGCCCTGGAATCATATCCACCCATTTTTAAATCATATATTTTAAAGCGTATTAGGCCTGAAAAACATACAGTAAAAAACTGAAGGTGAGGTATGATCCTAATTGCATTAAAATACACAGAAAAGCAGGGGCAAGAAGACAGAGCAACATATGAAGGAAGAATGTGTTCATGGAACTAAGGACACCTTCCCTTTTTGTATACTATTGTGTGCCTCGCATATCTTTGGCAGTTGGTAGGTGTTGTTTTAGGACGGACTATCGTATTGACCCTATATCTAAAGGATTCCAAATGTCTCCACAGTCAGTTCTCTGGGGAAATTGAAGGGCGTGGAGCCACCGTTAAGAGTTGGCTCCTGGAAATGACAGTCGTCCGTCTCTTTTGGAGATGACCTCAGAAAAGCCACCCAGTTCAACAAGAAATAAAGTATCGATGCTTCTAATGGCTAAACTTCATTTGCAAACAACTTCATATTTCACACTTGCATCCGCCAGGGAGAATAATAACTTCCTTGCTAGAAAAGGCACATTCCAAATCATCTTTTTGGCCAAATCTTGAACAAAACAAAACAAAACATAGGCTTTCAATCCTAGCACAATCCTCACCTCTGAAATATTGCTAATTACATGCCGTATATCAGTAAACAAACTGCCTACCTAAGGCATCAGCTTGGAGATCTGACTATTGGGTGTGATTTCACATATACACACACTTTTCATTCACAAGAATACTGGGGATGGCGTGGTGTGTGGGATTTACCAGCCGGGAGAGACCTAGGAAAGGACAACTTCCATTCAACAGATAAGAAATGAAAGTCACAGATGGGAGGTGTCCATTCAAGACGGGCAACAAGGCGAGAATAGTAGGGGATGTCAGTCCTGGCCAGGTAGCGCAGTTGGTTAGAGCATTGTCCTAATAATACACCAAGGTTGTAGGTTCTATCCCTGATCAGGACACATACAAGAATCAACCAATGAATACATAAATAAGCGAGCCAACAAAAATCAGTGTTTCTCTCTCCTTTCTCTCTTTAAAATCAATAATTTAAAAAAATGAAAAGAGCTGATGTCTGTCCCCCACAGGGACACTCGGGAGGGCTGGAGGGACAGTACGGACATGCCTCTGGCTGGCCAGACACACAGCCCCCGCCCCGCCACAGCACCTGGGGACAGTCACAGCCTCACAGCCTCTCCCTGTCTCAGCTTCCTCCTCTGTGCAGACCTGGAAAGGTCAGAGAGCAGAAAACGTCCAGGGCACACACAGGACGTCACAGACCACAAGAGGGCCCTCCTGACTGGCCAGAGCGCAGGTGTCCCCACAAGCTGTCCCACAGCCACTGTATTCTCCAGACGGCTCGGGACTCACGCAGCACACCGTGGGACCTCTGGGGCCGGTGTGACAGAAAGAGCGCTTGGCAGATTTGTCCTGAAGTTTAATTTTTAATTACACTCCATCCCTGCAAGTTCCAGCGCTGTGGGCTGGCCAAGGCGATTTGGGGGAGCAGAGGGGGCGGAAGAAGCAGCAGCCCCTGTAAGGGTGTTTCCCTGGCATGCGGGTTGTCACCAGTTAGATGAAAACACATGAGAATCAGAACACCAATAGCAAAGGCCAAGGTGAAGACCTTAACGGAGCAGGTGAGGCCAGGTGCCCAGGTGTGTCTTGCTCATCATTAGACACGTGTACTTCCTGGTGCCTGCGCCTGCACTCAGATGGCCACGGTTCAAGGCCAAGGGCACCTGAAGTCCTTGTTATTACCATATAGCATGGGATCGGCCTTTAAGGTAAATTCCTTTGCACACTGGAACCCGGTGGGTGGGGGCCCAAAATGTAGAAACAAGAGTCTAACAGCTGACAAATGTCCTCTATGCCCATGAACTTGTGAGTCTTGTTTTAACCTGAGTAGGAGGACACACGGCCGACTTCACAACCTTTTGCTTCCATTTTTGGAAACAAAATCTGCCCCCTGCCCCCCCCCACACTTGCAGCAGCCTTGCTCAGGGAGGGCGCAGGGGGTAGGGCAAGCACTCACTGATTTACCACAAACCCAAGCGCGTGGGACCACAACTCAACCAAGACTGGCTGCCCCGAAAAGTTTCCGAAAGGCACTCGCACCCCGAAAACCATAAAAAGAGTAAGAGAATGATCACTTACCCAAAGTGACTGGCCAGGTTCATGGAAATACAAAAGACAAGGAGGTTTTTGATCATGATAAAGCTAGAGAACATTCCATCGTCCATTCCCAATAAGAAGAAGAGTTGAAGCAGGTGAATTTCGAAGGAAAACTCTCTCCAACTCGATCTTGCGGCTGAAAGGCAGGCAGACGGGGACAGCACGTGAACACGGACGTTTTTCTGTTCTTAGAATCCAGTCCTGCTGCTAAGGCTCACAGGTGCCCCGGAGAGCACCCTGGCTGTCCCCGGGGCACAGTCCCACGTGGGGGTCTCCTCTGTCCCCCGCCCGGGAAGGGGGGCATGGAAAGAAAACACAATATGGCTTAGTTTATGCTTAGAGCGCAGAATCGTTCTCCTAATGTCCGTTTCCTTGTCTCAAGGACTCTGTTTACCGTATAGCGTGCTATTGAAAGGACCCCTCAGTCTTATTAATAAAATTAGTGCTAGAAGTTCGAAGTGTTTGGCTGTCAAACTCACATGTGGAATAATTTTACCTTTCTGAGATCTCTGCCACGTGTTCAAAGCCAGCAGGCTATTCCTCGTCCTGCGAGCTGCTGAAAGAAAGTGAGGGGAAAGGGCACATTTAAGAAACGAGTCTACAGGATCACGGGAACAGAACGACTGGTGAGGGAAGCCTGCACTTTCTCCGCAGCCGGTCCCCCATGGCCCGATAACTTCATGTTATCAGTGCATTTGGGGAATTCTCTTAGGTGCCTGCTGGGCCCCCAGAGAATGCATCCGAAATCCCGGCAGCACGGTCCCTGGGCGCTGCAACTCATCTGAGCGAAGGCACACATTTCTCAGTATGCGCAAAGGGGCGCACACGCCACAGAAAACCTCGTGTTCAAAGGGAGTGTTTTCCCAAAGAGACCCCAGGCCGGCTCTGGAATTGGGAAGCACACAACAGGTACTCCGACCTCAGAAGCGAAGGCCCTAGAATGCAGAAGGGCACGGTGCCTTGCTGCCACGCGGTGGTCGCTTGGGCGCGTCCTGGGGCTCGTCGCCTGACCCGGGCAGGAGTCCCAGCGGCGAGCACGCGGCGCTGCATGCGGGAAACCTGGGCGGCGCCTCTTGCTGCCCCTCAGCCCGGAGCCCCCAAAAGAAGACAGCACACTCACAGTCCCCTCCGGGGCTGGCGGGCCCGGGGGGAAACGGGGGCGGCACTGCGGAGCCTCAGCTTCGGCCACCCTTGCTCCCGCAGCTCCTCGGGGTCGGCCTCCCGCTCGGTCCGCAGCGGCGCGCCCCGAGCCTCCAGCTCGCCGGCCTTCCCCGGAGCGCTCTGGCCCTCGCACACCTCCCGGCTCCGGCCCCGGGTCCGAGCCGAGCGCCACGCCGAGCTGCGCCTTTCTCCTTGGAGACTAGCGCGCGGTGCAGCGGCGGCTCTGGGTCCCCTGGCCTCCAGCAAGCAGCCCGCGCTACCCGCGAGCAACACCCCAGCGGAGCCCGCGCTCACCCCGCCAGCGGCACCGGGACCCCGCGCGCCTCAGAGCAGTGAGGCTGGCGGGGCCCTAGGCGTGCGATTTCGCCCTTCCGATTCCAGTGACGGCAGCGGCGGGTGTCCCCACGCCCCGATTCTTAGCGGTGGGGGAGTGGGCGCTGCGCTCTGGTGCCCCGTCCGGCAGGGCTGTGCCGCCGAGGACGCCCCTGCCCTCCCGCGCTGGCAGCGCTCCCGCAGCCGCCGGGGGAAAGTTTGCGCTCCCGGCCGCCCGCGGCACCCCGCCCGCTCTCCAGCTCCCCTCCCAGACCCTGCAGTCGGCGTCTCGGACGCCCGGAGGACAGGGGTGCGGGCCGAGCTGTGGCCGCCCGTCCGCTCACCCTCTCCCGTAGCTTCGTTCCCCACTGCCCGGCCCCGCGCGCCCGGGGCTTACCCTGCGCGTCGGCCCCGGGAGGAGAGCCGTCGGCTACGGTGCATCCTCCTCCGCCGCCGCCTGCTGTCGCCCGGCTGGCAGACGCGGAAGGCCGGTGTGCGGCGTCACCGCCCCATGCTGCCCGCCGAACTTGCCCAGCGTTCCCGGCGGAGCCGATCTCGGGCCGAGCACCTCGGCGCCCCGCGCTCCCGCGGCCGCCCTGCGGCTCCGCTGTGCGCCGCGCCCGAGGCCGCGCGCTGCCCGCTGCAGATCCCCCCGCGCCCGGCGCACTCGCGCTCGCTCTCACCTCTCCAGAGCACCACATGCCGTCCGCGGCGCCGAGGAACCCGCCTCTGCAGAGGCGCCCGGCAGAGGCCGCCAGACTCTCACCAAACGCGCCCCCCGACCGCGGGGTGGAGGGGCGGGCTCAGGGCCCCGGCTTGGCCTGCTTTGGGATAGGCCGTATTCCTGCGGAACTTTCTTTTCTGCTTCTGTAACAACTGTCTTCGTCGGTGGCTTTATTAATGAATTATGGGTTTCTGTTTTTTTACATACTTAAAAAAATTTTTTTTCACTTAGAGTTGGCATAGAATATTATATTAGTTTCAGGTGTATGATCTAATGATGCAACATTTACGTAAGTGAAGTGATCCCCCTGATATTTCCAGTACCCACCTGTCACGATAAAAGGTTATTGAAATATTATTGATTATATTCCCTGTGCTGTACTTGACATCTTGGTGACTGTTTTTATAACTGGACACTTGTATTTCTTAATCCCTTCACCTTTTCCACCCACCCAGTCTTCCAACTACCCTCTCCCATGTGACGACCATCAAAATGTTCTGTATCTATGAGTTTTGTCTCTGTTTTGTTGGTTTGTTTGTTTTGTTTTTCAGATTCCACCTATAAGTGAAATTATATGGCATTTGTCTTTCTCTGTTTGACTTATTTCACTGAGCAGAATACCCTCCAGGTCTATCCATGTTGTCGCAAAATGGCAAGAGTTTGTTCTTTTTCATGGCTGAGTAGTATTCCACTGTATATACGTACAACATCTTCTTTATCCATTCACCTATTGATGGATACTTTGGTTGCTTCCACATCTTGGCTATTGTAAATAATGCTGCAATGAACGTAGAACTGCATGTGTTTTTTGTTTGTTTGTTTGTTTAAGCTAATGCTTTGGGTTTTCTTAAGAAAAAAAATCCCCAGAACTACAATCGCTGGGCCTTTTTTTTGTGCCCCTGTTATAGCCTTTGTTTTAAAAGTTTGTTTAAATGTTTGTTATAAGTATTGCTAACCCAGTTTTTTTCCATTTCCATTTGCATGAAATATTTTTTCCACCACTGAGCGTCTTTATTATCAGCGTTTTGAACTCTGCTTCTGGTAGATTGTCTCCATTTTGTTTTGAGGTCCTGTCCTGCTTTTTCAGCTGGGATGTGTTTCTTTCTCTCCCCATTTTGGCAGCCTCCCTGTGTCGGTTTCTGTGTGTTAAGTAGAGCTGCTCAGTCCCACAGGCTTGGTAGAGAGTGGCCTTACATAGCGGGTGTCCTGTGGGGCCCAGCGGTGCAGTCTCTCTGGGCCCCTGAGTGGTGGTGGTGGTGGTGGGGGGGGTGGTGGCTCCAGGGGTGTCCCTGGTGTGGGTGTGCGCGTCGCTGTAACTGAGCCCTGATCGCTGCTGGCACCGCAGTGGGAGGGACCGACTCTCAGGCTACTGGCTGTGAGGACAGGCCGTGGCTACAGTGGAGGAACTGCAGATGGTCGTCACCGTGCTGGGCTTGGAGGTGCCTGGGAGAGGCCAAGATGGGAACTGAGTGCGGGACCTGGGGCTGCTTAGTGAGAGGTTCGAGGCATACCAGGCCAGATGCTGCTTGTTGGGGGTTTGCGAACCTTTGGATTTAGTAAAGTCCACAGGCAATTTGTATGGAAAAGCCACTGGAAGCGGCTGGGTGAGCACGCAGGTTGGGAGGGGCGAGGTCTCAGGGACGCACTGGGCTGAGTCAGGTGGGGACTCGGATTTGGCGCCCCCTGGCCTCAGCGGGTGGCGGGCTCAGCTGAGGATCAAAATCGAGTAGCAAACCTCCTCCTCAGCCCTCGTCCTGACATCAGATGACTCAATCTCCCCCACCCCCCCATCCCCGCCACCACCGCCACCCAGCGTGCGTCCCTGGCGCTTTTGGAACTGCGGTCCCAGCGCAGGAGCTAAGAGCAAGTGAGTCCGAGTCCACGCGGGGCCCTTTAAGAGGGCCGCCGGCCTGGGACTCCCGCAGCCCGGTCTCCCAGCCCCACTAGGCCTGTGTCCACTGGTTTCCGCAGGCAGGGGTTGCGGGGACTTCTTTCGGCACCAGGGCCCTGGTATGGGGAGCCTGGCGTGGGGCTGGGACCCCCGGAACCCCAGAGTGGGGTCCCTCTGTAGATATTTCTTGAGGGCCTTCAGGGGCATATTTGGTACCCCTTGTCATCACCGCTGCCCCCCTCTTTAGAGCAGAGAGGGACAGCCAGGGACAGCACTGGCAGCCCATGGCTCTCCCCTCACAGGGCCAAGCCCAGCCCTCCCGGACCCAGATCGGTCCTCTCGTCCTCAGCACCAGCCCTCTGTCTACCTCTCCGCTGTCCGAAATGCAGCGTGAGGGAAACAGAGTCCAGGTGGCGGAGGTCAGCGTTGAACCCTCACCGAATGAATGGCAGCGTACATTTAGGAGTTTTCTACAGGTCCATTTCTGGGTAAAGAACCGTATGTCAAGAGCAAGTGGCAGTGGGGTCAGCAGACCCAAGGCCGCTCCCTGCGGGGCGACGGGGCCCGGCCCACCTCCGGACACCGGGGGCTTGACCTGGGGGTCCGGTCTGTCTTGGGCTCAGGGGTGCAGATCCTGAGGGGTGGGCGAGGCCCTGACGACATCTGGGCAGAAACAGGGTCCCTTTCAACAGCACAAAGAGCTCTGTTGGGGACAAAGCCAGCCCAGGGGGAAAGGGTCAAGATTTACACTAGGGTTCCGCATCTTTCGTGACGCGGTACTGTTTACAGTCACTGCTAACAGGGCAGTTGGGGGAAAGGGCAAAGTTCTAACTCTCCTCCAGGAAGGGCTCCCGCATCTCATCTTTCAGTGGCCAGGGCACTGCGGGCCTCAGTCACGGTTACCTTCTGGGGCTTTTCCACATTCCCAAAACCCTGAGATTTAAAAAAAAAATAGGGCACTGTGACTGCATCTCGAGAACAGGACATAATATATG